TCCTATCCAACGAATCGAAGGCAGCCCTGATGTCAAGAAACACTACGATTGTTGGCCTTTGAAAAGTATGGCGGTGCTCTAACATTTGGCGGAGGGTGAAGATATGATCAATACATCCTCGACCAGAACGAAACCCAGCCTGCTCCTCGCGAGTCAATCTTTCTCGGGTTTTGAACAACCTACGAAGAATGACGGAAGCCAATAGCTTGGACGCAATCGGAAGTAAACTTATCCCCCGATAGTTGTTACAAGAACGACGTGAACCCTTTTTAAAGATAGGGACAACTATCGACTCATTCCATGACGTTGGTACACTCTCTAGTTCCCAAACCTTTATAAACAACGTCGTCAATTCCTTAGTCAAAAAGTCACCACCATCTTTGAAAAGAGCCGGAGGTAAGTCATCTGGGCCAGGTGATTTGTAACGCTTCAAGAGTTGGAGTTCCTTGCGGACTTCCTCCTCATTTGGTGGATCAGTCGTCACCGGCCATGGAGGGCAGGACAGTCTGACCGATGTTGCCGGAGCAGCAGGCCAGTTGAACTGCCCTTCGAAAAATTCTGCCCATCGTCCAAGACGTCGATGGATGTTAGTGATTGGCATCCCATCATCCTCGCAGATTGTTTCACTCACACCAGACTTCTTGCTGCCAGTGGCTCGGATGAGTTGGAAGAGCTTCCGGTAGTTACCAGATGCAGCTGCTGCTTCCAGCTCATTAGCACGCATCGACCACCAGGCTTCTCGGTCCTTACGCAAGCTTTGCCCAATTTCCTTACATAACATCCTTCGTTTATGGTCAAACTCACGGTCACCCGGAATAGACCGACGGGCTTCAATGAGTTGTAAGGAACCTGCAGAAACCCAGTGCTTAAAAGCGGGACGTTTCGCAAACCCACAACTGACTGTTCCCGCCATTTTCATGGCGTCATGCAATTGCAACCAATGCTCATCTATACTTTTCGGTGGAGTGGTAGCTAGCCTAGAGGCTAGCTCAGTTCGATACTTACTTGCAACAGAAGTTGCAACCAGCTTGCTAACATCAATCCGTTGATGGCGGTCACTTCGTTGTCCACTGAAAAGTAAGGCAAGATTGGCGCAGACCAAGGCATGGTCAGAGTCCAGATAGGTACTCCAAAAGGAGCGGCAGTCTTGTACACAACCACGCCAGCGGTAGCTGATCGCGATGTGATCAATCTGAGTCCAGGCTTGAGATGCAGAGGGAGGACGCCAGGTGGCACATCGGCGATGACTGTGCCGAAAGTTAGTGCTAGCCAGAAACAGGTTGTGGTCTGTGCAAAGTTGCAGTAGACGGTCCCCGTTATCTGACCTGCGACCAACGAGTCCCCATCGGCCACCTAAACGACTCTCTTCTGTGCCTAGACGCCCGACCTGAGCATTCAAGTCTCCGGCTAGTACTACAATATCTGTCGAACGCACTTTCTGGAGAAGAACAGATAACTGGTGGTAAAACTCATCCTTGATTGCATCCGGGCTGCAATCTGTCGGGGCATAGGCGGAGATGACGAAAAGACATCTTTTCTCACGCCGATTTCTTCTCACTTTGATGGAACTTTCTAATCTAACAGCACATAACCAACCGACTGTTAATGGGGATCCAATCGATTAGTGCTGTCTCAGCTCTAGCGCTTAGTGCGACACCAACGTCAGCAAGACCAGATGAAGATGCCATAGGGTCCCCGAATAAACGCACGTAAAACAAGCTTTCTGAAGCGACAGATGGAGAGCGAGTTTGTAGTGTTTCACCAGAGTCTTGAATACGGGTCTCGGATAGACAACACACGTCGATATTAAGACTTTCCAAAGACATAGCCAGCCCTATCTGTTGTCCGACCTGCATAAATGTGCGAACGTTGAAGGCAGCCAGTTTGAATGATGCACGTGGTTTCAGAAAATCTGCTTCAGTCCTCGTATTCGGTGGTAACATACAATTTTCAACCGGACAGTGACTCGAGAACGTTTAGATACAGTCGGAATTCCACCAAAGACGAGCCGCTGTACAAGTATAAAAGAAGGTGAATAATGTGGAAAATAATAATGATGATGATAATAACAATAATGACAATAATAGTAGTAATAATAATATTAGTATTAATAATGACAATAATTGTAGTGATCTACTTAATTGGGTCGTTCAATTATAGTGTTTGCCAATGAGAAGTTCCGACCAGATCAATGATTTTCTCTCTAGCCAGTATCACAATTAGCCGGAAATCCTAAATTTTATTAGTTCGAGTAGATTCTTGTGTCCCAAGTGCCCAGTCAGAACACCAAGAAAGCAAATGGATTCACCTATGATGGCATTGCCATCATGACTCAACAGCTTGGAGAATTACATACGTCGATTACACAGGCATAAAACAGCTCAAGCAGGAAACTACAATATGTACATAACTAGGTCATACGTGATATGTGCATAATCGATTTCATTCAAATCGTTAATAGATTTAATTTAGACCACCATTGAAAATCTGAAAGTATTGGACGGCTGTTTCATCCCAGTATGGGACTTCTCAGCAGTTTGCAACCACAATCTCTCAACAAGGAACCAAACCCAGGATCTTCGGCCTCGTGTGCAAATGTTTAGATCCTAGATCACTGATCTACCATCCAACGGTGCTTATGTTGAACTTCAATTAATACACGACCATCTTTCATTGCCTCCGGTGGGTAACTGATTAGCTCTACCGGTCACGACTTCTCACTAGAACTCCGAATATTTCTCTTGGAGCTAATCACTCGTGAGCACATGATAATTTTCAGTCACGAATCTTTACTGCTGAGGAGTCCCAATGGTTGCCCAACGCTTCTAGATTTTCAATGATTGTCTAAGATCAATCCATGATTTCATCAAAATTCAATGAACAACACAACCTCATACTGAAAAGTACGATTAATTAATAATGATTTAAATACGGTAAGATGTATGACAATAATTACCAAGTTTAATGAAGGATCATAATTAGGAAAACGTAAAAAATGCCGTTACACAAACATTTACTAATTAATAACGAATCAAGAGAAGAAATTTCTTTCTAATTAGTTTTGCATCACAACTACGCTAATATATGATTTACAACAATGCAACAATACTCATCAAGTAGTTACGTAGCGGAATAATTATATAGGGAGTAATATTGGTAACCTGCTTAGTAGAAATGGATGCCCAAAGTAATTCATCAACAAACACATGAATGAGATGAAAAGAAAACCAAATTCATCTACCGTCTCGAAGAAGGTGCTGTTCAAAAAATCGAAATTCCTAAGTGATGCTACTGAGGAAATTGTGACTCAAAGGTTAAGAAAAGAGATACAGAAAATATTTAATGCAGCCAGACTCAGTGTCGTTTTCTATAACTGTCCCATAATAAGAAACGTTGATAAAGACAGACTACCTGAATTCGCCACATCCATTTGTATCTACTAATTTAACTGCTTCGGTGGAGCCAATTATATAGGACGTACAATTAGGCAAGTTGGTCATCGCATACCAGAACACCAACCGTCTTGGTTGAATAAAGGACAAGTAAGAGTGATTAAGAGTTCTATTCTCGCTCACTTGGTGAACACAGGTTATCAAGTTGATCTGAATAAAACCACATCCCATCAAATTTACTGCAAAGCTTTACGAGTTTGTCTTTTGCACATTGCTGAAGCTATCAGAATCTATGTTCACAAACCAAACATTTGTATCCAAAAGAAGTTTGTACAATTAATCTCTCTGCCTTGACCATCAGTATAGGAGTGAGCTTGTAGCTGAACTTTGATGAAACCCTTTCCTCCAAAAATATTTAAATTATTTTACTCCACTTTTGTATCATAACACTATTTTACCTACAGAAATGACCAGGTTTTCATTGGTTGCTGAAACTCATGTTCACTAACTTCTGTACATTATCAATCTTCAGTGATTGGAAGTAATCGTTAGAAAACCTTGGATTCAGATTTCGGGTTAGTAGGTACTCGTCTGCAAGGTATATCTTGCGACAGAGTTATCCCCCGGTGATAAGATAATCAAATATTACTTATGTGAAAAGAATTGCGTAGCTACCTGCATTTCAGTAGTTAAGAAGCTATTGTTATAAACCTAACCGAAGGTGTATTGACTTGTACTAAATCTTATTTCAAGAAACTTACTTCGGTCTCCATTACTGAGTAGAAGTGCTCAGAAAAACTAATTGATGCCCAACTGTCGAATAATGAGCATCTGGTTGATAGCAAGACTGAGAATATTCATCATATCAAAGTTAACTGGTGTCAGGTTTATCGTTGGAACTGATTTATACTACTTACATAAAAGTGAAAGAATCATGTTTACCAGGCGTCAAATTAAATTCAACTGAATTTACAAAACACATTTCAATAATACCACAGATACTTTTACAATATCAATAGCTTATTATGTAATTGTAGACATAAACATGGTCAACAATGTAATAAACCTACAACAACTTAAGCATACTGTCTTTCCGATCGATGTAGGTCTATGTCATAGGGTAGTGGAAACGAAAGACACTCTCTACCCCCTACACTGAGAAATTTAATTGACTTATGGATTAAAAATTGAAGTATAATTCACGCACACTACGAAAACGTCAAGTAACACGCACAAACGCACAGACAAATGCAAACAAGAATCGTCTTTATATTGAGACTCAATCAGACTGAATTTAATTCAATTAATGATCTTGACCTTATTCATGCATTACTAAACATCATAACAAGTTAGCAACGTTGCATCATCCTATTCGCTTATAATACAAAGTGAATTATTTATAATAATTTGTGACCAATGAGTCAATCAGAAGAAATAGAGCTATGACCTAGTGGTTAAGGGGGGGTTAAAACATTGAATTACCCCAAATGTTTCAGATATGAACTCTTCTATATGTACTTCGATTTGAGCAATTAGGTAGGAGTATGATTAGATCTCTTACACTTAGAATGTGGCTGATATTCAGTCAGAAGACCAAATAATTATCTAAGGTAATAAACACTTTATTTAAACAAACAAACAAAAATACAAAAAATACGAAAATCTGCACTGTAAAAGTTTTTGTTGTTGTAGTTTTTTTCGAATAGAATTACAATTGCATACAAAAAAAGATCATTAAAAGTTGTTGTTTTTCTAACGTTTACGTATAGTATTTCCGGCCCAATCAATTTTATTTGTATTTTTTAAGAAATTTAATCCATCTTCAAAATTTTCACGTGTAATCATACGTTCAGAACGTGCACGTAAATCTTCTAGTACACGTGAATAAACAAAAGTTAATACACGAGGACGTTCTTCAAGAAGTGACCATATTGCCATTGCCATTTCTTCACGTCGTTTACGTACACTACTACTGATACCTGTTTAAATAAGAGTTAAAAAATGAAAAACAATCGAGGGGAAGGATGAATTTTGATAAATATTGTATAATAGTGATCTGTAAGGGTAATATTGTATTATATTTCACTAAAAGTAATGCTTATAATGTAGTCTTAAAAAATATTTTAAAATTTCTACCTCATGAACTAACGTCAGTTACATAACCCTAGAAAATCAGGAAGCATTGTACAGATATTTCTTTTTAGTGCAAAACTTCGCCGAAGTGAGCAACCAAGAAGCCAGGACCTTTACATATCGCGACATGCAATTAGCCTTTAGACTAATGAGTCAGCATTCAACAGTTTACACGTCTAACTTCAGCCGATTCGTTGTATTGTACAAACAACTTACAATGCTATTGGTGGGTTAGTGCATTACAATCAATATAGTTGGACTTCACCAGTTAGTTATGGCTTCGCAATAGAACTCCTGGAATTATTCATGATTAGCTACAATATTATCAGCATATTGGGGTTTCTGGAAATTACCGAATTTTGATTTACATTAAGGATTAACCTTAGTTATACAACCTCAAGGAGTTCACTCTGTTCCTGGTAGGATCGTGGATATGCAATGATGGGGACGATACTACGATGAAAAAGTTATTAAATGCTTCCAGGTTTCAAATGGTTCTTTAACTAAGATCATATCTATACTTTCGGATGAAATGGTAAACTAGCCTTAATATATTTGATTACAACTATAATTTATTAACTACTATAAAACAAACACAAGATAGGTTTATAGGACAGATTAAAATATTATGAAAATTTAAATGGATATTAATTTTGCAATTAAATCTAGACTACTGTTTAAGTAGTTAAATGTTGTATACCTGTTGTTAAAATATTGATATCGATAGTACCAGTAAGCGGATCAATAGCTGCTTGTTTTAACGCTTCACGTTGTAAACGTCGAGCTTCACGACAATCATCAGCCGTAACATGATTTGATAATCGTAAACGAGCATGAGCTTCAGCTAAACGTACAAGTGATTCAAGTTGACGAGGATATGCGGATATCTTATAAAGTTGGTATTAATAATAATAAATATGAAAATTATAAGAGTTAATTACAAGAATAGATGAGAATAAGAAAACAAAACAAATTCATTTCAATTTTGTAATACATTCTGAGAATGAAATAGAATAGAAATGTAATAATACAGCATAAGAAAGTCTTATGTATACCTTATAAGTTAAACTAGATAGACTAATGGTGAGAATAGCAAAGTTTATTACAGTATAATACATGGTGATATTAAAACTTGTGTTCGTCTTATCAGGTATGAAGTACGTTATATGAAATTATAATAATTATAATTTTTGTATTAGACTGGAAGTCAAGTTAGGAACAATAACGGGGTAGATTGTATGCATATAGCACACAACTATCTTTGAACTTTGCACACTGTTGGAGAGATACCAAGTATTCCTCGAAAAAGTCCAGAACGGCCCCGGAAATCCCGGGAAACATTTTATCTAATCATCGTTGAACAGAAGTTTCTCGGACACATACAGAAAGTGAAGATCCGCGAGTCACATTTCTAATTGGATGGTGATCTGTCCTGCTACTATGTTTAGTATGGTTTCAGAAGCCTAAGGCTATCTGAAATACCATAAGTACTCTCGGTTTTTTGTACATAGCCTAACCTTGGAGTAAAGACCTTTTTCACATTACGCGCCGTTTTTCTCGTGTAAATTTAGCCTTGGGTTATTAAAGAGCTTAGGAAACCGATTCAAGTATTTAATAAGAAGACTTGTCACACAAAAAATAACGTCATGCACTGTCCCATCCCCCTTAGTAGATCAGGCGATCCAAGTCACAAAAACACCTGGTGGGCGGCTATGTTTCTACATGAGGGCTGAAAGGTGTAAGTGGGAGTAGAATTCATCAAACTGTTTCAATATTTTTGGATAAATATTGTAAATTTGAATAACTTACAGCCTTCAAAACGCTGGTAATCTGTTTCTAAAACAACTCTAAACATTTAAACGATAAATTGATTATAGCTAAAAATGGAATGCGGGATGTACATTTCATTTTATTTTGGCATTCGTCAGCTGAATATGCCTGCATCCCAGTGTCACTTTGCACTCCCGAAAACGAACTTAATGCCATCTGATTTAAACACTAACTCATTATCTATTGAGCTACTGGGTTCATAATCCAACTAACCTATTTAAAGGATATGGTATTTATTTGTAGGGGTTCGAGTCAGTATATTAGCATCAACAGTAGGATGTAGGCACATCCAAATGACGAGATCCAAGTAAGATGAAACGTGCGTCTTAGATTTAACTGCTAGCCACAATCTACTTATTCTATAAAAACTGTGATAAAATGGTTATATCGAGGCTATCAGAACAGCATGCACATATGCCACCAACAAACACCGGTTGAAATTGAGTTCTGAGTATTAAATTTTATAGACCTATTTTTAAAACATGAATAGAATTAGCTTGGATTTTGTTAAAGGTATGTAAGTGAATGTCATTTGACAGTTGTCTGAATAGTAGAAGGATATTTCTTCTAGAGCTATCTGGAAAGAAAACTGGGTAAAGGGTGATCTTGATAAACTAAGAACATGAACGCAGAGGCTTTAGGCTGGTAATGCACTGGCCTTTGTGAGAAGTTGTAAATGTATTAGATTCCTACTTTTCAGATCCTACCTAAGGTGACGGAAATTTGTGGGGTAAGGTGAAGTGTTTTAGTCTTATAGTTCAGATTTTAACCCCACTTTCATTTGTGAAAAGGTATCATGGATGGACACGTTTATTGTCCGCACGAAACATCATACTGCTATTAAACCCAAGTACCGTTAGCAGTACAAGTACAGCGGACTGTATATCTGTTACTTTGGTTTCACTGCCATCCCGTTGACCTGTTCGGAATAACAGAACTTCAAGGAACAAGAACTCCAATCAATGTAGGAGGATTAAAAATCCAAACTTTGAAATAGCCTTTGATGAACGGGGCCAACGACCTGAACATGTGATGATTTTTAAGAATAATTCCAAGTTAAAACGAAGCCAAGGAGTAGTATTGATCCTAACATGTTCTCCTAGTTTTTTGCATCTCTCGTAACAAAAAAAGTTGTAACTAACTGTTAAAACAAGTGGAAAATCGATATTTTTAGTTTACACCACGAACTAATCATAGTCAGACAACTACTGAAAACCAGTCCAAACATGGGACTTTTCAGCAGTGCTAACCTCGAGATCTGGGTCAGATCCCCAGTAAAATGGTGGGTTTACATTTCTAAGGAGCCCCACACTAAGACACAACAGCTTTCAAATGTGTCCTGTTTTCTAGTGGTTGTTTAAGTAAGATCAGTCCATGATGTGAACTATGAAATTCAGCAATCGCCAAAACGGCCGATAATAAGAATCAATATTTATAGGACCTGTGATAAAAAATTATTTTGTATTGTAGTCTTTAAAAGTATATAAGTTAACTGATACAACACTGATGACATGAAAAAGTGGTGATGCAATAAATTAATCATTAAGTTACCTGTCCACGACCTGAACCCAGTTTTCGCATTTCTACATACTCACGAACTAAATATTCACCGGCTTCTTCCGTTAGTTTGGGAAAGTACTTCATCTTAAACATAAATTAAGGTGGAAATATCATTTTTATTGGTTATTATTGTTACTAGAGATTACTAAGAAAATCTGCCTTCATTTGTTATTGAACATTTTACGGTTCTGATGAAGGACTTAATGTGAATGCTTATTAATTCTAGAAGAATGCCTAGGGAAAAAATAGATTGACACGCTGGGCTAATCGTGCATACAGCAAATGATCATGAGATGCTGACAGACGCAAACCCTACTGGTTAAGATTTGGCTTCGTTATCTGAAGGACATACATCTACGTTTAAGAATGTGTTGTGGATATATATTCTCGATTCGGTTAACTAACAGAATCTTTCTACTTACTCCTGGTTTTTTTCACTCAAGTAGTTCATTAAACTCGCGTATAAGAAGCACATATATTAACAGCAGAATTAAACGGCCACAAAACATAATATGGATAAAACAGTTTGCCATAAAATATGATGCGATCAAGTGCTCAAGTAGAGGAATTTCAACATATTCATGTGATTTATTAATATACCTTTCACTGATTGAAAAGAACTCCCGATTAGCAAAGTCAAATGCATCGTCCAAATAAAAAAGACATATGATTACAATCGATTATCAGTTAGTAGGAGTATATATTTGCAAACCTATTGAAGAGGGAATACTCTATTTGTATTACGCGAGACAATAATTTAAGTAAAATATATTTTGAAATCACCGACCTCCAAATACCCTGGCACAACCGAGGGTTGGGAAAGTTACCTCTACCTCTCAAATGCTCTCAAATGGCCACGCATATACACACATTGATAAGGAAGTCCTACTCACCGCCTTCTCGTAGCGGGGGTGTTGTCCACGAAACTGAGAGGACGAAAAGCGAATGTTTGGTGCTTTAACCGGTTTGGTGGATATGGAGGGCCCACTTGGGGGAGTTGGAAAACTCTGATTTCAAACCAATGGTGCATAGTAGTAGTTTTACATAAAAACAGTATTGTATTAGTTATTATTCAGTGACTAATGCTCTTAAAGTATGAAATGAGTACAAACGATTTCAATTGGTAAAAAAAACCTTGTAAGGTATTCAATAAACATATCTTTTAGAAACATAGGATATACTTAACTGTTAAGGTAAGCATAGAATTATCAAAACAGATTTTCTATTTGAACTCATTATTATTCATACTACAAGGCCTCTCTGTTTAAATGTTTTGGGTAAATTTCACTGAAAGTTGACTGTGTCTACCTTAAGGATTAAAATTTGTAAGTGGTACAACAATGAATACCTTAGCATAGGCTATATAATCCTTCAAGAGTTTCCCGTTTACAAATGATGGATCATCATCAGTTTGACTATCCATGTCCAGTAGAACAGCTCCTGGACGCGGTCTACGTGTACCTCGAGTATTATTATTACTGTTGGTTGGAATATCCTGACTGCTATCAATCTGACTTGGAGTAGTACCACGATAATACAACCCAACCAAATGTCTGGCTAATCTTGTATCGTAAACTTCATCTTGTGGATCCAATATAAGAAAAATGAGATCGAATCTTGATAGAAGAGTATGAGGTAACTAAAAATAACAAAAAAACATAAAGAAACGATGCAATAACTAGGTCAACAAGTTACTAAGAAACAACATGCTAATGAACAAAATAAATTATCATTTTAAAGCCTCTCCCCAATTGCCACGGTACGGTTGAAGAGAGCCCATTCTCCCTATTAAAATGCTCTCATATACCTAGATGTTCGTAGCAAGTATCAGAGATGTCTTACTCACTTTATTCACGTGGTGAGATTGTGCTTTTTATGAAAGTGAGAGGAAGATAAGTAAAGGCCCTGTGTTTAAACTTGAATGATGGATACGAAGGATCCACCTAGGGAGGTTGGAAAACCCTGATTTTAAACTAGTAACATACATGGGCTTTAGGATCCCTGATAGAAGATACGTTTCAGAGTTAGAGTAATTTTGTACCGAAATTTTTTGCGTCTTATGACCAGATGATATTTAAGAATAATATTTCTCATGTTTGGGTTTCAATAATTTAAAATTCAAATCTGAACTGACAGATATGAATCTAGAGCCAGACAGCTGACTCCTGATTACAAAGGATAAGTGGAAAACGGGCTATAGTCGGACTCGATTCGTTGATGAAGTGATACCTATTAACGCTGAATATCGTGTAAGTAGTTTATTAGTTTCGTTAGTAAGTTACGAATTTCGGTATGTGTTATAACTCTCTTTCTTACGGTTATGACCCAGCTATTCCTATTGCTTAGTATTCTTGGACACCGATTCACTCGACAAGACCCCAAATCAGAACACGGTTGAACAGGAAGAGACATTATATTCCAAATAACAAGGTTAGATGGAGGCAAGATGCAAGCCAGAAGCACAATAGGGAAAACGTCAGTATATTTATAGTTTTTTACATAAGAAGATTCCAGAGTATTCTCCAACTATCGACTAGTGCTGATTGGATAAGAACTAGCCAATCAGCGTGCACAAAAGCAATCATGCAGTGAGCATGCTTTAATCTAGTCTATGTCCCGCTAACAGTATGTTAATGAAAAATACTTTATATATGTACTCCCAATCCTAACGTAGTAGTATTTGGCTTTTATCCAGCTGTTTGATACAAAAAGAAAACGGTTTTCCATCTCTGATACTGGTTAAGATGATTTAAAATAAAGCACTTCAACAACAAGACTCTTTTAAGTTCAGTATAGATCAATACAGAGGAATGTGTGAAAAATTCCTCAAGTTATGACAGACAAAATAACAAATTAAGTTATTTGTTAATAGACGAGAGTTAAATCATTATGAAAATTATAAATGATTAAGGTATTTCCCATATCAAGGTAGTTCTTAGTCAAATAATCAAAATAAAAGAATTCATATGATATACATTGTCGAAACTTTTGTAAATTAATATTATTAATGTAATCAGTTTATAGAAATTATTGAATTTGATAGTTGATAACACAAACTGAACTTAGAGAATCATAGTAAATCGGGAAAAACTGAGTAAAACTGTTTTGTCTTAGCATGAGACTCATCAGCGCGTTGCATCCATAATCCCATAATGGATCGGTTACTGGACCCTTGCGTCTTAACACCAAGACAACTGAGATGATATTGAATGACCTATATCTGTTGTGTCATTGGTGCGTAACTGACTCACATTCAAAACGGATGAGCTTTACTAGTGGAGAACTGATTGGTCATAGACGTAAACCATTAGACCTTAACTCAAAGATCTAAATATTAAGCACTCGCCATGAGACCTGAAGATCCTGGGTCTGATTCTAGGCGACGTTGTGCATGCGCTTTGTCGAAGTTCATATCAGGATGAAGAGTTTATCTAGTCTTCTTTAATTCTCAATAGCTATTCAACTAAGGTCAGTTCGCGATGCTACTACTTAAGAAAGTTAAGTATAGTTACAAGAAGAATCCGATAAAAAATGGAGCAGTTACCTGTATATTGTCAATAATCGTTTTGCTAGGATCCCATTTAGAACCGATTGGATTAGCAGCTGCTAAAATTGAAGTCCTAGCATGAAGTTGACAAAGAATACCAGCTTTAGCAATACTTAAAGTTTGTTGTTCCATTACTTCGTGTAGTACAGAACGAGTTGAATCGGACATTTTGTCGAATTCGTCGATACAACATATCCCATTATCAGCCAACACTATAATTACGTTATGATGAAATAAATAAATAATGTTGAAAATTTTCAAAACAAGGATAACACGTATCTGATCGTAGGAATCAAAAGAGCAACATTATATATTAACGGAATTGTGAGAGCAAGTAGTAGTGTACGTGCAGTTCTGTGGTAGGATTTCATCTTAAATTTACATTCGTGTAATAAATATATTAATTCATGAGAAGTGTACCTTACTTTAGAGCTACAAACACTTAGTGTAATTGTATTCACTCGGAAATGAGACTGGAAATAATGTAATTAGAAGAAAAACAATGAATTTATAGGTTAATAAAAGATGGTTTAATGAGAAAAAATAACCGCTGTTAATTTCATTTAGTTACAAAGTATCATCTTACTTTCATGAATATAATAGACAACTCCACTTATTTCCATTCTGAACCATGTCTGATTTGATCTTTAGGAACTCACTGGGCAATGATAGACCGACAGACACTATCTTATGCGGTTATCCCTCACTTTACAACGCCATATTATAAGTTGGGACATCTCTACCTTTCCATCTAGCTGAGGTGTTGAAAATTGATGAGCGGTATGAAAGCGGTTGAAATAACACTTGCGTAGCATAACCAAATCAATTAAGTGGGCGGTTCAAAATAGTGATATCAATTAACTCCTCATTATTATACCTGAATACACATTGCAAGACCCTGGTGTCATTACATCATATAGGGAATACTTCAGAAGCAACGATGATAGAGCTCGTAAAGTACAACTATCTGCACCAAAACTTTGAATACCTGATCTTTGCTTTTCAACGATATCTGACAGCTTTCCCCAAAGGATGATTGCAAATACAGGTACATTTTAGTTTTGTAGAACTATATTTCATCTTGAAAGTAGAGAGTACACATCATACTTAGAGATACTGATTGTTAACTAACTCAATAGAACCCAAGTAGCTTGCATATCATTGAGAGTCACTCTATTCGTAAAATCCAATTCGGGTTTTTTCCAAATAGCTGACACTAATGACCATATTACACGTTGAAATCACATGAACTGAATTTGCTGATAAACTGAAATTAGCTGAGGTAAGTATAATATTGTAAACAGTAAAGCTTCTGGTAACTTATTAAAAGACAGACAAAGAAACACGACCCGAGGAGAATGGGAAGTTTTAAACTAAATGTGCTTTAAAGGTCCAGTTTAAATGTATAAATGAATCAAACTTGGAGATGATTAAGCAATTGGGTGTCAGAACTGTTTGATAAACGTAAGTTGTTTTTAAAAGAGAAAACTGAGAATAGGAGAAATGCAATGTAGTGATTCCATACATATTCGTGTAGTTGGTAGTAAACTGCACATGTTTTATGGTAGTTAGCTGCAACAAATGAATCCTTTAGTCAAGGTAAGTGAAGTTTGCTTCATGAAATAGAGTCTAGATGATTGAACAACAGTTTAGAAGCTTTAAATAATTAAAAGACTAGGAAATTAACGAGTTAACTAGTTCCTGTCAAATTATGGCATGCTGAATTAAGATGTCACGTTTGGATGCTAACGATTAATTAGTTTGTGGTCAAGGAATGCTAATTATGTGTAAGAAAAATATACATTATGTTAGCAGGATATAGGTTGGGTTTAAGCATGTTCCATAGAAGATTATGTTGGAGAAGGCTTTAAAATCTTTTTTGTGTAAAACTCTAAATATGTTTTTTCACCGGGATTAATTCCCATCCAACTTGGTTTATGTGGGATATAACTACGTACCTGTCCAAGTTATGTTCTGATTTGGAGGACTAGTCGAGTGAAGTAAAATATCCGAAGAATACTAAGTAATAAGTGTATCTGAGTCGGATAACAAAGGATTTAACACATGAAAATAACGATATATGATTACATGTAATTTTAACGAGCCAACTACACATTTGCAGGTATTGGTGAAATGATACCAAGTCTGAACATAAAGTAGCAGGTCTAAGATCCGCTATCTGGATGGACAAAGTCAGTTAACTTCACACACAAGGGTTAGAGAATGCTTTAACACTTATCGGCTACACTAAGAATGAGAAAAAACCGAGATCATTTAGAAACAAATTGTAAAATAAACAAAGTTTCTGGAAGTAAGAGAGCGATTAGCTTGATGAGCCAATTAGTTTAGAAACTTTGACTGATGCGCATTTTCTGCCACTTTCTACATGTTGTCTACAATGGACTGATTGGCTATGATTTAGAAATATTTGAATATATTTATTCGCTTGTTATCTTTGAAGTTGGTTTTATTTCTTGATTGGTTCTATGGCGGATGAAACCAGTGAACACAGCTTTTAAAAGTGCATTTAGTTGAGGTTAAAATGATATGTCAACATATTAATTGGTTGGAGGAAGCTGGGAGGAAACCCTGAACCTAGCTTTCGTGGTAGTTGGTACCCGTCAATAAAACGTACCTGGAGTTTTGAAGACTGACGCTCGTTGTGGAATCAGTGTACATAACGTTGATTGCGTGGAGTAGTGTTCATATTGGAACTTAATCGATAGAATATGATGAACACTAAACGGACCATACAAATATGACACAAACCACTATTCAGTGATCGATTAATTGTACATATCAGTATACTTGTTCTCCACACAACTGCATACTAAATTTCGTTTAGCTAGGTTTATAAGAATTAATGACATGTAGAGTGTTACATAATGAAATGAAAGAAAAATAATTGTATGTATGATTTTGAACAACGATGAATAACAAACACTGTTCATTAACCAACTGACCTAATGCTCCAGTTTGCAGTGTTAATTGACGCGTTTCTGCATCTTTTGTAATGTAGGCCGTTAAACCAACAGCAGAACTTCCCTTGCCAGAAGTATATTGACCACGAGGAGTAAGACGGTATACATACTGCAGAAGTTGAGATTTTGAAGTACCTGGGTCACCACATAAAAGTATATTGATTTCAGAACGAAAATCACCACGTCCTTTAGCACTGAAGTCTTTACGTGTACCGCCAAATAACTATAATAGAGGCAACAGAATAATATAACATGAATTAGACACTAATAAAATAATTGAAAAGTATCAGGTTGGGTGTTGACAACTAAATTTACTTTTGCTAGATTGATTGGATGTTTACTCAATCAGTTTCTAGAAATTTAAAAAGATGGTGTAACTCAACATGTAAAAGTTATTATGTACTCAGCTCTGAGAAATACACCTGAAGTGTGAGCAGGCTAGTAATACCTACTACTTGTTTGCCTACAAGTGCCAAGGGTTGGGAAAGTCACCTCTACCTCTCAAATGGCCACGCGTATACACACATTGATAAGGAAGTCCTACTCAGTGCCTTCTCGCACCACAGGTGTTGTTTACGAAATTGAGAGGACGAAAAGAGAATGTCCGATGCTCTAACCGGGTTGGTGGACACGGAGGGTCCACCTAGGGGAGTTGGAAAACTCTGATTCCAAACTAATAGTGCACATGGGACCCAGTATCCTGAAGGAACAAATGGTGTACGAACCAATCGCTGGTCACCGGCTACCATGTGACTGCATCTCCTAATGTTGCTCTACTACATTGTGGATTAGACCTCCAGGTTGAAGGTTCGGATAGTGGCTGGCTAAGGAAACCACCTGCCTTGGTTTGGGCACCCGGGCAGTATCACAGCCCTCACACAAACCAAGTGACTTGTGTGGTGCATATGTATTCGATGCCCCTTTGTACCAATATTTATATGTTTAAATAATTAATATAAATAAGCCAATCTTAAAAGACTGAAACGTGTACTTGATGAACTGAGAAAGAAGTTCAATCCAATCTTAGTGAAATAGTATGTATTTAGTGAGCATAAAAAACATTATTACGAATTACAAAGAGCGACACCATATTGGTAAAGTGATGAGGTTACGATTGAACTTGTCTAACATATACCATTACTTTCATTTTAGATATATAATTTATTAAATTGCAGTCAGTGTGAAAAAAAAGCATTCTATACAATTCTAATATATCGTTTGTTGTAATTGTATCTACATAAGTTGTACATTTCTGAGTGCGGTTAGGTACATAAAGCGTTGGACATTTTGACAATAACTCCCAGGTTCGAACCCCACTCTACCTATTTCAGTTCGGGCAGCTAACCAGGTAGGTAGGTATCACTAGCTTGTAGTCAAGTACATGAATCTAAAAAAATGAAACCTACTTGTAGGAGAATACCCTTTTTAATATCTTCGTTTTCATAAATTGTTGGTGCGATACCAGCAGCAAGTCGTTCATATAAATCAGGTTTACGAGCCAATGTATGAAATTCTTCAATACGTTCCTCCGTGAATTGACGTAAAATATGTGCTTCCTCAATAGAAGTATTTTCGTCAGTAGCGAGCCCATCATTTTGAACTCGGTCATCGCCTTCTCGGCTAACAGAAAAATTATATGTATACAATATTTAGACAGGGACAATTGTCCTACTTAAAAATAGTGAACATAAATGACCATAATAATAATAAATATAATAATAATAAACCAGGTATGAAATTATTTTGATATTTGTAGGGAGGAATAATTGCTTAAATGGATCTGATAGACAAAATTGGTTGATTTATCGGTAAACATCTTTAGCATAAGTGTATTTTCATAATCGCCAGTAAGATAGGAGCAATGTGTATAGACAGTTTATATTGTTTATGGTCCAGTGATACATCATATACACTGGGAAAGATATACTTCAACAAATCCCCTTTACAAAAAGTAAATACCCGTTATACGTCGTCAGTCTAGTACTTGATACAAATATGCACTGGATTGAGTTGTCATACTACATTAGCGTAGTGAGATGTTGACTGGTGGGTGGTATTAGTCCATGAAGTCATTGACTGTTGGTCTGAGCCAAGTTAGTAGATGCAAACTATCTGAATGGATAATAGCAATCTATGATTGGAGACGTTGCGTAACATGGCTTATAATTGGCCACAATGGAGCAGATGGATTTCCTTCCTCCAAATATAGAGTCTGAATGTTCCTTCATACATACATTTTCATGTTTTTTTCGAACATTCTTTCTGACATTAAAGAAGGAGAATGTAGTTGTTCTTTCTGGTTATCATTGCTATTACAGTATTTCGATTCCTTAGCTACTCATCTTGTTAATTTTTCTTTCATTGTGCTATTGTGTTATGGAAACTCAGAACAACACATATTTGTCTCAGACTTTATGTTGATTATGACTAACTGATAAAGTGAGATGAAACTTACAAGAAACAATAGTTGCATCAATAACAATTAGAAAGATTAAGCATAGAGAATATGGTTCGAAAATACAATAATGAAGTTGAGATTTACGGGAAAATAAAAAAAACATCCAACTAGCCTACTGGGAGCGAATTTAAGCCATATCACAGCTAATTTTAACATTACAAACTCGGTTTTTTACTATAATACGAGTAATGCTTTGAAAATATCTATGACCAAATACTAGTAACCTATACAGGTTCTTAAATTTCATAGACCATGCTTCACAGATATATAGTAAAACAGGACTGTGGAGTACATTCACGATGAACTGTATTAGCACACTATTAAATCGCAGAAAATGATTTGAAAACTAGTGTTAAATTTATGATTGTATTTAACGAATGAAATAATCAGATGTCTGTAAAATATTTTGGAGAACTAAGCGAGATTATCCATGATTTGCTTGACTATGATAAATAGTAAGCGATTGAGTTACTTGATTCAATCAGCGAAATGCCCAAACGGTAACCCAGAAACTTATGTTTAGAACATTAAAGTATTCTTTTGATCTTTATAAACAAAATAAGCTTTAAAAAATCTTTTAGAAAATAATAAGAACTTTCTCACTATAGGTACCTATAAATTAAATTAGTTTGCCAGGAAAATTATTCAAAGTGAACCTGTTGTGGAGCAAGTGGATTTTAAAAATCACCTAACTGGTGTACAATTAAGATAATCAAATGATTTTAACTAAAAAACAATAAACACTAAAACTTACAGAAAATGAAGAACATCTATATATGTTTTGTAAACCGCTTTAAGAGTACGTTGTCGGTTAGACATTCGTAGTGGTATTGCACGATAAATACCCGTAACGATAACACGATCACCCGGTTGAATTTTATCAACAAGTTCTTCGTGAGCATACATAAGTACTGTATGAGGAGTCTGGCTAGCAGGCATATTTTCTGGAGATTCCTAGATAAGAATTTATGAAAGTAGGAATTAGACTATAATGGTAAAGAAACACCTGTCACAAGGGTAATTACATAAAAATATACCGCAATTGGCAAACTTGACCCCATAAATATCACGTCCGGCCCTCAATTCAAATTACATTAAAACAACTGTAAATCTAATCGGAATTATATATATATATAATGAAGTCTGATTCAGAGGCATAACAAAAATACTAGTACAAACCTGTAATTTAATCATTTGTTTATCCACAAATAAACATCGATTATGTTGTAGTTGAGCTGTATGAGCCGAATGACAACGTATGCACGCTTCTGGTTCTGCAATACGACCACGTTCACATGGAACAGATGTCATTGCACCACAGATGGCACATTTGAACTCTGCACGCATCATTTCAGGGATGAGCGGGGATAAACGTATTACAAGACCAGAGACAGTTACAAGTTGATCAAGATCATCTGGATCAAGACTGCGTAGATCTCGAGATCTTGCACAATTGAATGGACGAATCTGAAGAAAAAACAGTAAGAATGAGACAACCAACCAGAATCAAAGGTTGATTTCTTAAACGACGTTACAATATTTCTATCTTGTACAATAAGAAACGGTGGATACGACTTTTAAAAAATGAAGATAATATCGTATTAATACTTTGAATAATATTAGCTTAAATTTTTTTAACATCTAATTGTAACCGATCTACGTATAAGATACCTAGATTGTTTCACATCAAAATTACGCTTTAAAAGGACTACAAACTTTCAATCTTATCGTTGTTAAGGCTTACGTTGTCTTCATATAAGATAAATTACTGTCAGCATTCGTAAGCGAAAATACAGGAGTGAAATACGACAAAAAACTAAACTTACAGACTTTATGGTGATTCAATGAAATACATCAGAATGTAGTCTCGATTCACACCAAGAAAATTCAATAGTTTTTGTGGGTCCATTCTAGAGACAAATCCTTCTTTAGAGTCAGTCAGGCATAAAAAAATAGAAAAACAACCCCTTCAAATGTTTTAATACCCTAAAGATCTTAAACACCCTCCCCCAAGTATTTAGTTTTTCATCTATAATGTTTTAAGCAACTCGCTTTGAAAAGATTTTCCATTTCCCTACCCCCTGCCCCCAAATGCCCTGGTACGGCCGAGAGTGGGGGGAGTCCGCTCTCCCTCTCGAAATGCTCTTACATGGCCACGCGTATATAGCCTCTGCCAGCGAATTCCTGCTCACTACCTTCTCGTGGAGGGGGTGTTGTTTACGAAAGTGAGAGGACGAAAAGCGAATGTCTGGCGCTTTAACGGGATTCCAAACCAATGGTGCATATGGGCTCCAGTATCCTGCGGGAACAAATGGCGTATGAACCAATTATTGGTCACCGGCTTCCATGGGACTGCATCTCCTTACGATGCTCCACTGCCTTGTGGATCAGACCTTCAGGTCGAAGGCTCGGAGAGTGGCCCCCTAAGGAAACCACCTGCTTCGGTTTGGGCACCCTGGCAGTATCACAGCCCTCACACATATCGAATGAGATTTGTGTGGCGCATATGTATTTGGTACCTCCTTGTACCAATATCCTTCTGTTAAAATAATAATCCCCACCCCCTACGATTATGAAACCTAACCTGCCTAGACTCAAGATGTTCGGTAACTCTCTACGTTCAAATATCCCTGCTTCTGAAGAATTGGTTACATATGGTGGTGACAATCTAAGCAATGTCAAGGTCCGGTTATGTGTGCTCAGCTATAATGGTGATAACATTATTAGTGTCATCATTTTGAAATCTGAAACTGCTTGAAGTAAAATCTACAAATCTGCAACAAAACTGACAAATGAAACGACATATAAGATATTTGAAGCACACTCGTCATTCTAGTAGTCCCTTTCTAGTTATGGAAAAGTTTTTTTATTTATCTGAACTGTTCAATGTAGTTTTCGCCCAGTATCTTTTCGTTTTTATTTGTTTATTTATCTAGTAACAAGGGGAACTACTATGTGGTATAATAAAATAATAGCCCACTCAACACATTTTTCTTTCGAATTCAGTTCAATACCACTGTTGAATTTCCATAAGTGAGGATTAAACCATATTAAAATTTCTAATAGTTAAAAGCAATATTTACATAAACAGAGCTATCTTGATATATATCCGAAATACCTGTATTGATCTTTCCAACTGGACTTCCCGGAAACGGTCTAAAAATAAGGCGTGTGTAGCAGCATCACATGCTGGAATAACTTCCTTCGGAAATGTTACCAACTGCGTATACAAATCTGGCCTGGCAGAACGAAGATGTTCACAGTCAATGTCTAAGGCAGTCGAACCTGATATTGCAAGATCTTCCATTCGTTGGATATAAAGAGGTCTTTGTGGATTTATGGGTTGACCTGTTGTTAGATTCGGTTGACCGGTTAAGTCTGGAGGGATGTAGGTCAATAGGAAGTGTTTAAATCTTGACATCACTTGAGCAATGTTTACATCGGTACCCCATATTACAGTCTAAAACAGGTTAGTAATTTGGTAAAAAGTGTAAATATGTAGAATAAGGATAAATTATTGTTAACGCCTACCTTCAGATTATTAGAGGGGATGAATTGGTAACCGCATTATCCCCAAGACCTAATTGATATCGGATGTAACAAAATGTCCAACATAGAAACCCGTATAGTGCGCTCAGTAGAGTTAACAAGCTTAATTTTTGGTATGTTCATTGAAAAAGCAAAGGTTTAGGAATATATTGTACGTACAACTACTAAAGACAACTATGTCTATAGATGAGCCTACCTTTTTTGTTTTATTTTTGTCGAAATAAACGTGAACATCTTCATTTCTAAACGTCTCGATTCTTTTTTTCGCTAGTGATTTAACAACCGTTGTAGTATAATGTTTATTACTACCAACCTTGGCGTATCCTGTTCGTTAAATAATTTGCTTGTAGTATACAAGGCACGAGATGTCCTTCTTGCTTATGATCTACAACTCAGATATAGGTAAGAAAATTTTTAGTTCAAAGTTTGGATGGCTGAGTGGATCATCTTTCAAAACTCAACTCCGATGACGTAGGAAGTCGGTTATAGTACTGGCTTGTACCAATGGAATATTAATCCAGTAACCAGTAACAACATGTGTGTGAACAATCAAGTCCTATAAGTGCTTTATTTGAATGCTGAAATGTGCTTAGTCTAGAGGGCCGTGGATTGACGTATTTACATATTGCTACCTAATATGAAAAAGCCACAAATTTGGTACGAAATTTTATCCCATAATACCAATGCATGCTCAAGTATGGTTAATAGGATGATGATAAAAGTTTACAATAAAAATAACTGTACAAAGCAAGAGTTAAGCATAGAAAATATACAAAAATATTTCTTGCCTGAGGTCCACTAGCAGTCGACCCATCAGTAGTACCAGGGACACCTGTTGCAGGAACAAGAGGTCCAGATTGAGACAAAACAGCACGAACGGCCAATTCATCATTGACGCCAGGTCGAACTGAACTCAAAACATCTTCGACCCCAGTCGCCACACTAGACATATCGCTGTATGATAAAGGACTACCCGGCTCCACTTCGGATGTACGAAGACCGGATGTGGGTTCCTGTGAAAAAATGAATCCGTCGGTTACAAGCATTTAAAGGATGAGCAAACTTCAAGACACAAATTTTGGACGGACAAAACTAGTAATGATGATTTATTTTACTGAAATTCCAGTGACTTAATAACTAATAATTAAGTCAGTCATACGGAAAGTATAAACTGGTACATGTGTATCGGCTTGAATTAACACATCGTATCTGTACAGAGACGAAATTATCGAGATAAATATAAAAGTAGTAGGGGGTAAAAATATCGGTTACAGTAAAAAGGACAAGGCATATGGAATGTGATATGAGTATGAATTCACAGAACTGTGTAAAACAACTTTGAAACTCATGACCTAAGGGATGAAAACGAGTGGCTGAATCTGCTTCATTATGACTTATTCCGAGTTATACGATCTAACTTCTTCAACCATTGACCGCCGGTATGGAGCGAACTCAAACCAAGTAATATGTACTTACCAACATGTTTTGGATCAACGGTCAGTGACTTTATGGGTTGGTGCCACATCTAAGCTTGTTCACCTCCAGCTTTTTTCGGACTTACTTCGATACGTCAATACTGAGCAATGAGGTCGGTGGTCGTTAGGGATACGTGATTCATGTCTTAAACACCTGTCACTGAAGATTCACTACCTCATCAACCGACTTATCATATTTACCTAGTACCCTGGATACGTAATCCCATATCAGAGAGAACTACAGAATATCCTAACTACAAATATATTTCGTAAAAAACACAGACAAACAATACTGTTAAAACAAATCCATGATAACACAAGGATACCTTATATACCATCAGCTCAAACATAAAAACCAGAAGGCAAACAGGATCTGATAAAACTAATTAAATGTATGTCTAAAAGAGAAACTCAACTGGTCATATTGTTTAGTAACTCATTTAAAACTTTTAACGGGATGTCTACTAGATCACGGTTTCTAGTCTGAAAACATTCATAAGACTCCAAACGGTACTTAATAATTGTTTAATATTTCTCCGGTTTCATGTAAACGAAGCCAACGTTTCGTCAGACGGCAGCATCTATATTTTCAACCAAAACGTTTCTTACTGAGAATCTGCAGTACGCATAATAATTTCCAGATGAGTTAAGGAACGAGAAATGAGGTGATGGGACTATAATTTATGTACGACCTTTGAGAGACGCTAAAGTAACCTTGAGAACGTCCACCTACTTACTTGGGCTAGGTGACGGTTATAAACCAGTGTGAGGAATACAGGTTACGACTTATAGTTGATGATCAGGGTTAGTAATTAGGTTCAGTGTTTTCATCACGAACTGACATCAGTTAAAATGCTAGAACGCTATTTAGTCAAATGAATCAATGAATTTCGCACCAAAATTCAAGACCTGTTATCCCATGTTTGGTTGGTTTGTCCAGAAATTAAAGTTTCGCCAAATCTCAATATAATAAGACCACAAACAGGTTAACAGGACTAAGTCTACTCCACGAATTGCAGCAGAGGGAAATTAGGCAATCGAAACATGTAAGACTTATACCAATGGAGAACACTAAGTTTTGTGTATACCACAAATACTAAGAGTTATATTATTTGTAGTACTAACGTATTCCACCGACTAGAGCCCCTCTTTTTAGTACCGCGCTGATATTTCAGGTTAGGACGATAGTACGAATTTGAGGTAACGAGGCAGCGTACAGCCAATACAAGTACGACTAATGCTGAATAAGCATATTTACCCAACAAACTGATGAATTTGTTGATAAGTTTCATAATTTTTGCGCTAGTCATGTATACATAGGTTGGCGCGTGAAGAACTGTAAGACAACATACTAATTTACGGACCGATACCATAGAATTTAAGCTGGAAATAGTAGTGTACTGGGAAAACAAAGCTCTGAAAAACAGCTAGTAAATCAACTCACTGCATTGCTTGTAGGCTCGGTGTGTCCTGACCGATTACGCCGTGTTCTCCCACGTGTACGACTTGATTCCCCAGTTCGTTCAAACGTAGTTCCAGCACTTAACAGGTCACCTGACAACTGTTCGTCGTTTGTTGCACCCCTCCGGCGAGAACTTCGTGAGCTGAGACTTGACATTTTCGGACTTTCATATACCCGCTTCTTGAAAACAGGATCGAAAACCGATGTGATCAATTCCCAATATACAACGCTCAGTTTTCGGCACATGTTATCAAGCATTTAGTTACAGAAGAAGTCATTATAAAATTCTTAAAAATTTAGATCTTTACTGTGGTGAAAATATTTTATGTTGCAGTCCTTTCTTTCATGATATTTCAGTGTTTATGTATTAAGCAATAATGATAGTAGGTTGGTAGGAATGCTTTAATCCTTGATATACGTTTCCCAGTAAAGGGCCACTTTTTTCTTGAAAAATGTTTACCAGTTGAGCTGATACTACTTGTTCGACTATGCAGTTTCAGTAACTGAAGATCCTCCGAAGAAAATCGGATACCACATTGGTTGATGGGAGACAAAAAAAGTCACGTTACCTATTTAGTGCCTACTCTCTTCATAAGTTAAAAAAGATCTGTATCTTTGATTAAGTGTGGGTTAACTGCTTCAATACGGTATTCTTGTTGATGTTCGTGCATAAGAAATATGAAATTGGGAACAGAGATAGATTTTATTGCTAATAACATCAGTAGTGTGCATTATCAGAAATAAACAATAATGTCAGTTTTTACAATTAGTACAGAGGAACAATAGATACTGAATATAAATGTGATTGAATATAAAGTGTCACAAGCAAAGAAGAAATTTGGTTATTATTTTGTCGTTACGGAAATCGTTGAATATGCATGTCTTCATAGATTTGGGCCTAAAATCAGTATTTTCTATTCTAACCTATCTTACTGATGCAGTTAAGGGCACTGTTTTCTAAGGAGCTTCAAAGAACAAAATACTTATTTAAAAAAATGAAACAGTTACGGTGAACACGCCCGCTTGACCAAGACATGTAGTCTCGATAATGTTCTCACGTCATCTTCAGGAACTTCATTACTTTTTATCGATCGTTCAACGTCCGATGTTCCGCCGTCTGACGTGACAACGGTTTAGCTCAACGGAAAGTTTATGCTAAGAGTTTGTGGCGGTAAATAAATCCCCAAAATAAACAGCTCTGTAAGTTTTCGACATTGGATGCTGACCACATTAGTTTTAATGGACTCATCTAGCTAAAGGCGCTCGGTCATGCATCCGCACCAGATCACGAGTAGGAACGCCCTGCTCAACAACCCCGTCAATCGCTAGCCAGATTAGATCAGATGATCCTCGACGTATTAATAGCCTATCAAATATATCTTCGAACCTCCTCGCTTCTGTCTTTCGATTTCACTTGTTGGGTACGATTCACATAAAGTGTATGGTGTCATATATTCAGTGATTTTTGTAACAACAAAAATAGAAACCATTTTTTCTTTGTAATTTGTCACACTTTAGTTGTAACCACAATTTTATTCAATACCTGTTGTTTTGCTGTATCACTTGTTAAAAAGACGATAATAATTGTTTCGATGAATGATATACACTTCCACTCCCGGGTGGTTTAAAATATAAAACACTACCTACGCCGTTTGTTCTTCTGTTTTATTGGCCACCGTTTTGATTGAAGACTATAATAGTATTATAACATCCTTATAGGCCTTCCGACTCAGCGTTGGACTTTTGGCACGGATTACTATTGTATAATACTATTGGACTCCGTCTTCCTCATTACGTCTTTGGTGCAGTCACTTGCAGAGGAACACCTGTCAACCAAGTGAACTTAGTTTGTGGTCGTTGTCCTCACGAGGCAGTTAACAAGTAACATTCATTCTATAGTAACTGTTAGCGTCTGTTTGTTTAATATACCTTTTGTATTGCTAACGGTATTTTATTACCTTTGTTTTTACTAACGGAAAGACATCTAGGTTTCTTAACCATTAATTTGTTTTGGTATATCATTGTTAACCTAGTGTATCAATATATCTTGTGTAAGCTCCTTTTGTTTGGGGACCACCACAAGTGTTACTGGTTAAAGCATTGTCAAACTCCGAATACCCGCAACATCTTCAGGTTCAATGTTATTTCATGGTCATTACAAAGGATTATCTCCTGTCAGTACAACTGAAAATATCGAATTTGTGGTTATATTCGATTCCTCTTGCTGAACATTTGTTATTTTGTAATGATTGACCAAAATTGCTGTGTAGTTTATTTTGAGATTAGACGATTGAAAGTGATTTAAACTCTTTTATTAAACTGTTTATATACCTTAATTATCTCAGAATACTTTTCTAGCTATTATAATCAGTTCTAGGCATGTTATTTGAATGAATACATAGGTTCTTCTTTATACATTTCTCTGATCGAATTCAACACAGTCAGATAGGATATTTTAGTTTTCATTCCCTCAATGTGCCCCAAATGCCCTGGTATCGCCGAGAGTAAAGTGGGCCCGCCCTCCCTCTCGAAATGCTCTCACACAGCCACGCGTATATAGCCTCTGCCAGGGAAGTCCTACTCACTGCCTTATCGTGGTGGGGGTGTTGCTTACGAAAGTGAGGGGACGGAAAGCGAATATCCGGAGCTTTAACCGGATTCCAAACCAATGGTGCATATGGGCTCCAGTATCCTGCGGGAACAAATGGCGTATGAACCAATTTTCGGCCTCCGGCTACCATGTGACTGCTTCTCCTCACGATGCCCCACTGCCTTGTGGATCAGACCTTCAGGTCGAAGGCTCCGGGTGTGAACCCCTAAGGAAACCACCTGCTTCGGTTTGGGCACCCTGGCAGTATCACATCCTTCATACAAATGTGATGAAATGTCGATATTTATGAAAAATACTTGTCTTGCTTCGATTAACAATCAAACGGTTCACATTATCATTATTATTATTACTGTTATTATTATTTTTACGTCATTTATTTACTTTCTTCCATTCCCACTTTATGTGCCCTTATTTTTCGACTTATAAAGCAGCTCGCCTATGGTAGAAACCCGGTTTTATCTAAACGTCCTCGAGTAAATGCCTGGTTGAAAATTGTGTGCTACCGCCAAACACGAATACTGAAGCAATTTTACTGAAACAACGTGCACCATTCAAACTGGCTTCCATCAACGTTCTCACACTAATTCACGCCGGACAATAGATAGAGCTGGCGATGTCTTTAGGAAGTCTTAATATCGGCGTTTGTTGTCCATCAGAGACTCGTATTCAAGACTCTGGTGAAACACTACAAACTCGCTCTCCATCTGTCGCTTCAGAAAGCTTGTTTTACGTGCGTTTATTCGGGGACCCTATGGCATCTTCATCTGGTCTTGCTGACGTTGGTGTCGCACTAAGCGCTAGAGCTGAGACAGCACTAATCGATTGGATCCCCATTAACAGTCGGTTGGTTATGTGCTGTTAGATTAGAAAGTTCCATCAAAGTGAGAAGAAATCGGCGTGAGAAAAGATGTCTTTTCGTCATCTCCGCCTATGCCCCGACAGATTGCAGCCCGGATGCAATCAAGGATGAGTTTTACCACCAGTTATCTGTTCTTCTCCAGAAAGTGCGTTCGACAGATATTGTAGTACTAGCCGGAGACTTGAATGCTCAGGTCGGGCGTCTAGGCACAGAAGAGAGTCGTTTAGGTGGCCGATGGGGACTCGTTGGTCGCAGGTCAGATAACGGGGACCGTCTACTGCAACTTTGCACAGACCACAACCTGTTTCTGGCTAGCACTAACTTTCGGCACAGTCATCGCCGATGTGCCACCTGGCGTCCTCCCTCTGCATCTCAAGCCTGGACTCAGATTGATCACATCGCGATCAGCTACCGCTGGCGTGGTTGTGTACAAGACTGCCGCTCCTTTTGGAGTACCTATCTGGACTCTGACCATGCCTTGGTCTGCGCCAATCTTGCCTTACTTTTCAGTGGACAACGAAGTGACCGCCATCAACGGATTGATGTTAGCAAGCTGGTTGCAACTTCTGTTGCAAGTAAGTATCGAACTGAGCTAGCCTCTAGGCTAGCTACCACTCCACCGAAAAGTATAGATGAGCATTGGTTGCAATTGCATGACGCCATGAAAATGGCGGGAACAGTCAGTTGTGGGTTTGCGAAACGTCCCGCTTTTAAGCACTGGGTTTCTGCAGGTTCCTTACAACTCATTGAAGCCCGTCGGTCTATTCCGGGTGACCGTGAGTTTGACCATAAACGAAGGATGTTATGTAAGGAAATTGGGCAAAGCTTGCGTAAGGACCGAGAAGCCTGGTGGTCGATGCGTGCTAATGAGCTGGAAGCAGCAGCTGCATCTGGTAACTACCGGAAGCTCTTCCAACTCATCCGAGCCACTGGCAGCAAGAAGTCTGGTGTGAGTGAAACAATCTGCGAGGATGATGGGATGCCAATCACTAACATCCATCGACGTCTTGGACGATGGGCAGAATTTTTCGAAGGGCAGTTCAACTGGCCTGCTGCTCCGGCAACATCGGTCAGACTGTCCTGCCCTCCATGGCCGGTGACGACTGATCCACCAAATGAGGAGGAAGTCCGCAAGGAACTCCAACTCTTGAAGCGTTACAAATCACCTGGCCCAGATGACTTACCTCCGGCTCTTTTCAAAGATGGTGGTGACTTTTTGACTAAGGAATTGACGACGTTGTTTACAAAGGTTTGGGAACTAGAGAGTGTACCAACGTCATGGAATGAGTCGATAGTTGTCCCTATCTTTAAAAAGGGTTCACGTCGTTCTTGTAACAACTATCGGGGGATAAGTTTACTTCCGATTGCGTCCAAGCTATTGGCTTCCGTCATTCTTCGTAGGTTGTTCAAAACCCGAGAAAGATTGACTCGCGAGGAGCAGGCTGGGTTTCGTTCTGGTCGAGGATGTATTGATCATATCTTCACCCTCCGCCAAATGTTAGAGCACCGCCATACTTTTCAAAGGCCAACAATCGTAGTGTTTCTTGACATCAGGGCTGCCTTCGATTCGTTGGATAGGACTGTTCTCTGGGATTGTCTATTGAAGAAGGGTGTGCCTGAGAAGTTTATTAACATCCTAAAAGCCCTGTATAAAAACACCTCAGGCAGAGTGAGGGCATACAACCACCTCTCTCCATTGTTCCATTCGAGCAGTGGGGT